ACACCAGGCGCACATAAGTTGGACCAACAAAGGATACACAATTCAGATAGCAAACTTTGCCCAAATAACCACCTAAGTGGGTCGTGCCAAGAACTTTTCAAAACTGCCTTGTATATATACACATACATGGGAGAAATATATATAAACTTGATATAAAAGGCGAATGGTTGGTAATTGAATGACAAAATTGGTGTTAAAACCCTAAGTAACACGTTTCGTCTTTCAAAATACTTCATTAGACAATCTGATGGAGACTTTTTGAAGGATGAAATGCATGTGTTTTTGAATTTTGCTATTTACCGTATATACTCGCGTATCATGCGACTTTAGAAGACCTAATGTTGAAGCTAATTTTAAGGGGGTCGCATCATACACGAGATATAAAATTAGCGTGTGGACTGCTGGTCCTGGCTAAACTGTTGACCAAACTATATATCCATTTACTGTAGTTAAAAAGTATAGCTGTATTTAAAATAAACCTCGCACGTTACGCCAGTATATGTGGTTATTACTTACGTACATACATATATAACTAGACCTGGAATTTTTCAAACGCCTACAAAATTTTTTTTTTTTTAAATATTCGGCCTTAAATGTGTTATTTTAAATTTTTATTGCTTATATTATTGATTAAATTACTAAAATGACGTACGGCCCCATCACATTAAAATAATTGTTGAATGGTCCATTGAATATGACTCGTACTTGGGCACCTCGAGGTGGTGTAATGGTTAACAAGCTTGTCTCGCTAAAACAATTACGACTGAGTAGTGAGTTCAATCGTCACTGGGTGCTCCATACTTTCGGCCTTGTGCCACATCTGAGCTGCGCTTGGAAAATCATTATGACTCGTACTTTATCTATGTTTCCTATTTGGCCCAGTTCAAAACAAGTTTCCTAACATACATTGATTACAAATATGAAACTTACGGCCGTATATTGTTGAAACACCGGTTCTCGTGCGATTATCGAAGTTAAGCAACGTCGAGCCTGGTCAGTACCCTTATGGGTGACTGCTTGAGAATACTAGGCGGTGTAAGCTAGGATGTGTGGGTTGTGTAATGGATAATGGTTCGGGATCATTAATCGGATAGCCGAGTTCCAATTCCAGTTGGGTTCGTTTTGTTCACTTACGTGCAAATAACCTTGGGAAAGGCATGAACCCACCTCTTCTTCCAGGTATGGGTTAATTAGTAAAGCAGTAAATCATTATATAAAAAAAGATTACAATCTAAAAAAATATTTTCTGGCTTTATATAAGCTGCAAAGGATTGGTAAACTGTTGAAAATGAATGGATCCATCAAATTATTAAAATAATACATGTTTCTCAATTGAGCTTAACAAAAAGAATAGTGAAAGAAACAGGGTGAACTTGAGAAAAAGGTATTAAATAAAGTTTATCATGACTGCCTATTCACTGTATAATGATAGTCACAGAACAGACCACGGTATATGCGGTTTTCCACCCAACCTCCGAAAATAAATGAATAATAAAAAATTTCAGAGACTTTAGAAGTACAGGTATACCTCGGGTTACGTCGTTTCAAGGTAAGTCGTTCCCGATTATACGTCATTTGTCAAAAAAATATATGGAAAAATAAAAATCAAGTTTAAGTCATTTTATTCGACTTTATGTCTGTCCGCCTACAAATACTGAAGTCATAATATCACTGGAAAAGCGTTAAAAGCACACAAAATCATGTTACTGTACAATAAATAAAAATAAAAGTATATAAAATCATATTAAAATACGTACATTTACAGTAAATGTTAATATAATCATCATAAATCCTAAAGAACGAAATATGAAAACATTTGTGACTATGTTGTCTTATTTAGCGGTCTTAAAGAGTTCAATATTGGCGTTTTCCACGGTTGTTCCAGTATCTGCCGACTGGCGTCGCTGACTGTGCCAGTCGTGATTCCCGCGAAATTGAAATCCAGTTTTGTTTAGGTTACGCACGGTGTACGTCTGCTTATCGCTTACTCTCTCATTCTCATTCATTTGTGACTTTATATTTTGCCCGAACGGTTCCTAATGAAATTCCTAGTGCAAATGCTAAACGTCATGCTATAACGCTGGACGATAAACTTACTATGATAAAACGCCATGAAAAAGTGAAATGGTTACATCGATTACTCGATCTTTTGGAATAAGTCGGACAACTGTATCGACGATTGTTCACAATGAGGATAAGATTTTGGTACATATCAAATCTGATGCCTCAGGGATGAAGAATACTGTTTTCAATAAGAAAAGAGGAAAAATCTTTGAAGAGATGGAACAACAACTTTCTCTTTGGATTGATAGGTTGAATCATCTTCGTCCTGCTATTAATAAAGAAATCATTCAAGCGAAAGCGTTGTCTTTGAAGACCTGAACAAAAAATACTCAAATGAGAAAGATCTAGAGCTTAAAGCAAACCAAGGCTGATTTATGTGATTTAAAGAACAAAATTATCACTCTATGAAGAAGCAAGGTGAAAGTGCATCAGCTGATGAACAAGCAGCAGCCGATTTTCCTAAAGCATTGGCTGAGATCATCGAAGAAAAGGGGTTTCTTCCTGGACAGATTTTTAACCTTGACAAAATTGGATTATATTGGAAAAAATTGCCAGACTGTTCTTTCATTGCTCATGCTAAGCGTAAGGCTATATCGCTGATAAATTATTCTATTGAGAATACTGTACGTACATATCATAAATACTGTAATATGCAATGGAGAGTGCTTATTTGCGGTTTATAGTACGATTATTTCGACTTTGGTCGAAAAACGACTTTAGTCGTGATCTCTGGAACCAATTAACAACGTAGGGTGAGGTATACCTGTATAGAGTTGAAGTAGAATTTAGACAGAACCGAAAACCCAATCCTAAACAAGAAACAAGCGTACATTTAAAACATTCAAGTAAACTGTTTATTTAACACATTGTTTTACTATAGAAATGCATTGGAAAAAAATGGTTGTCTGGGATCAAGAATTCGTGCAAAGATTACGAAGAGAATAGGGCTTTTAGACGTATATTTTTATTTGATTTTTTCCACAATATGAGTAGATTGGTTCCGTTCCCATTCCTTCCCAATCTTTTGAACAGGAGTAAATGTTTATCTCTTGCCCTTGATTCCTATTTAAGAATAGGTTTCCGGTTCCCTCTGTATATGCATCATACATATAGATGTTATTGCTGACAAATACTCCGCTCTCAAAATTAATAGTGTTTTTGGGGTTTTTTTTTGTTTTTTTTACGTTTTATCAACCCATTTGGGTTATTTAAAATTGAAACATATTCAGGTTTTTTTTGGTTTACAGCATATCAATCTCTATGAGTTATTTAATGCCAACAAGATTTTTACAATCGATTCGTATATATATAATATGTATTCTTTCTAAGATATCAGTTTGTAGAATAGGTTTCATTGACGTATTTTTTTTTAAATGCTTTTGTCGAGAGTCTGGTTTCATTGATGTATTCTTTTCAGATATAGTTTGTAAAGAAATTTTTCATGGAATATGAGTGGGTGAGTTTAATTCTAGAAAGACTTTGGGTTGTTTGATTGTCCATGGTGGAATACTGGCCTCAGTCATTTCTTGTATGTATGAGTATGGTCCCTAACGCTTCAGCAATGGATTTCAACCAGAGTCCATAGGATTGCATGGTACTGTCTTTTTGTTGGATGTGATCACAGTAATCAGGTTTAAAGGTACTGCTATAAGCTGGGTTAACTGGGCATGATTTTATTTTGATATAGTACTGTAGTGCCAGTTTAGTGCACCTTAAATGTAGAGGTGTTTCATTAGCTTGTGTGTATAAGCTCTCCACTGGGGGTGTCCTAAAAGCCCCAAGTACTAGTCTGAAGCCTTGATGATAGGTTGAGTATTTTAGGTATAATCCTCTGGCTGTCCCATATATGAAACTAGCATAATCCAGTTTTGAGCGAAGTACTGATCTGTATAATTTAATTAATATTTGTCGATTTGCTTCTCATTCAGTATGAACTACCACACGCAGAAATTGGGGGAGTTGACTACATTTTAGTTTTAAATATTTTAGATGAGGAATAAATATTAATGTAAATGATGCCTAGGAACTTGTATCGTTCCACTACTTGGATTTCTGCTCAGTCTAATTTTAGACGGGGGTTGTTGTGCAATTTTCTTAATTTGCAGAAATGTTGGCATTTAGTTTTTGTTTTAAAAATGTAAAACCATTTTCGTGGCCCATTTGTGTATGGTAATTGTCTTTCTTTGGTATGCACATGTCGAGATCAATATATTATTGGACGGCTTCTGCTGCTATCTTTATGATGCCCAAATTTTTAGCACTTGAAGCACCTTAGTGGAACCGGAATATATTATTCCCTTGTCTCAATATTATACCCAACTTTTATTTTCTTGGGGATTTGAGGTGTGACAAAAGGATATATGCTTATTATGATGGTTTCTCCTTTCCTTTTTTATCGGGATTCTACGGTAATCATTGAACCCCCTGGCTTCCTCAGGCAGATGTGATTTCCTCAGATGTGGCCAGAGACAACTCTGCTTCTAATGGCTGGCTTAGAAGTATTCAATCTTTCATGGGGCAAGGTTTTTATTTTGATGTTATGAAAGGTCTTCATCTTCATTAAACCTTCTGCGTGTTTCCTATTTTCCACTTCTACCAGCTAATTGCCATTTCTCAATTTTCTGTTTTTGGGTTAATCCTACTGGATAACTTTTTTTTCAATTAAGAAAGGGGAAAGTTTTGCTGGAGGAGTTTCCTCTAGGGATGCGAGCACCAAAAACCTAGGAAAGTCATAACTTTTTTTCGGAATCTGAAAGATATCTTTGGGTTTTTTTATTTTGGTTGTTCATTATTTTTGTTCGTTATTTTGATATAGAAATATTCACTGCCTGTGATGCTCCCCGCCTAACTCGGAATCCGACATTGGGATGTGTCAAGGGGGAAACTCAGTCTCCTTGACAGGTCTGGGATACACAAACCAGTATCCTCGTATTCGAGAGAGATTCTGAACACCCGTTAAATCAGATTGTTGCACTTCCCAAATATGTAACATGTTCATAGCCATTTCTAAGTCTAGATCTCTTCGAACTGATTGACCCTCAGTCATTAGACTCCTATAAATTGGATAGAGACGGTATTTTATCCCGGTGTATATTTGAGGTATTGTATTTTGATATAAAGTACTCCATAAATTGATATAGTTATAGGCGCTAGGGCTTGACAGAACCAGCCTCTCCGATCTAGTCCAAATAAGGGCCAAAGTGGTGTGTTGGCCTACAAATATCTGAAAAGGGGTGTTAAGAAAGAAAAGGTTTACTGAGGAAGGAAAGGTTAGTAACCACTCGTCTAACAAAGTTAGATTCTTATTCATAAAGAAAAAATACTACACTGTTATGTGTTATCAGTCCTCCTAAATGGCAGTGAAAGCTGGATAATCTCCTAAAAGATGAAGAGCCTTAAAGCAACAGAAATGTGGTTCTACAGAAGGATGCTGAGAATACATGGACCAAATATGTGAGCAACGACGATATTTAAGAGAAAATGGAAACAAAAAGGAAACATGCTCAACATCAGGAAAAGACAGTTGAAATATCTCGGGTACATAATGAGGAAAGAGGCATTGGAAAAGTTGATACTCACAAGACAGATTCAAGGCAAGAGGGACAGAGGGAGACAACGTATAACATACTTAGTGAGTTTCAGTAAGTGGATGGCGGAACAGGGTTTAGAAGATATAACAAAAAGACAAAATTTATTAAGAGCTACAAATATTAAGAAATTGCGGAGAGCCATGAACACCTATGTCCTGAGGGGACACGTTACATAAAGAAGAAGAATATCCTAACTGTGGGGTTTGTTCCTTTGGAAACGTTCGTTTATTTTTCTGCTAACTCAATTCCACAGTACGTTGTAGCTTTGGGGGCATCTTTATTAACTGGGTTCTCGATTTTTATTCTTTCTCTTTTTTGTGTGTGGTTTCATATCAGCCATTTTTTTTTCGTGACTTCATAATCATATAAAATGACGATGATAAATA